AGCCTTTATTGAAGGCCAGCCTATACTGGGTTTGTTGGACTAGTCATGTCCACCTCCCCGGCCGAGGCTCAGACAATCATCTCCAGCTGCCGGGCATACTCGATGACCTGTTTGGCCAGCTCAGTGGAGGGGATGGTGGTGTCTTCTGGCTTTTGCTGCTGGCTGGCAAAGCTGTAGTAGTTGTTAGGTCCCAGGACCCAACCTCGCTGAAGGAAGAAAGAGAGAGATCAGAAGTAAGTGGGTGATTCAACAGGCTGTTCCCCACCCCATGTATACCATGGCTCCTTTCTTCACAGAGTAACTAGAGGCAAGGAATGGCACCCCATGTTTGAGATGGGTACCATAATCGTGCTCCTCTATGACTAAAGCCTCTGAGCAATGAAAATAGTATTTGGTCTGCAGTAAGTAGTGAATAGCTGTCACCATCACATCTCAAATTCATCCCTTTGCTCTTGAGCCTGGTGTCTCAGGCCACTTAGCTAGCCTGACAGCTTCACAGTCTGCTCTTGACTCTTCTGCTTCCTGGACACCAAGGTCAGTATGCAGCATGAGTCAGCTTCTCCCCGGGGCACTGCTCCTACTCAAATGTTCTACACCAAAGAAAACAGTCTTATGGGACAAGTTGCTTCTAAGGAATTCTGCTAAGGGCAAACCTAATATGCAGAGCACCCTTGGACCTGATGCTAAGCTCCATGCATATAACTCTAGCCACCACCTACAGAAAGGCCAGCAAGCTCAGAGAGGCTGGACCATTTGTCTGAGGTCTCACAACTGGATCTAGCTGTAGGCAGTCTTTATTCTCCTAGAGTCCCTCAGACAACCCAATCTGTGTCCCCCCAAACTATTCACACTGTATATTAACACTGTGTTCTCCAGATTACCCACACTGTGTATTGACACTGTCGAGACAAGGTACAATACTCTCTATTTCCCAACCCCAATCCATAGTCCCTGTCCCACACCCCAGCCACCTTCTTGGCATAGTCTGTCATCTTTTTGGGTGTGTTGAAGAAGAGAATCCGGGTAGCCTCAGCGAAAAGGATTTTCTCATAGGCCTTCTCAATGCATCCTGCAATTTCATCCCTGTGGGAAGGTGACAGTTCTCACTACGGAGCAGACAACCTCCCAGACCCTGCCCTCCTGGGAGCCACAGCTCAGGCTATGAGGGAGTCTTCAAATAGGGGTAGGGGCTTCACAAGAGCACAGCACCCTTCCTCAGAGTCTGGAGGAGGTTCCTGCATGCATGAAGAAGAGTGTCTGTCTACACGCTGAAGCACAGGTTCCGTCCCCAGCACCATATAAATCCAGGTGTGGGGGTGCATGTCTGTACTCCCAGCACTTGGGAGGTGGAGGCAGGAGGATCAGGTTCACAGCCACTGTCAGCTACATGAAACCCTTTCTCAATAGCCCTACCTCCCAAAACAGGTGTCCCGGCGGGGAAGACAGCTCAGCAGAGCAGTAGAGGGGCTCACTTAGTTTGCACAGGGCTCTGATTATAGGGGGGGGGGGTTTGAGATCCCCTATGAAAAACACAGGAATTGTCAGGGTGGTATCAGGGACCCAGCCCCCACATACCTGATAGTATCCAGCAGGATGTCAATGAAGAAAGTATAGCTTTCAGCGGGGATGTTTCCCTTGGCCAGGAACACCTTGTTGTAGCTACCCTCCATCAGGTACTGCCAAAGCCAGAGAAGAGAAAGAGGATGAAGGGAGCACAGGGGCTTCCCTGCTCTCTCGGTGCCTCCTGATCCCTGCTCTAACAACACCCTTGCCACACAGCCCACCCATTCCCTGTACATCGGGCTCCTCCTCGTCTACAAAGCCTTACCTGGCTTACACACACACCCTTGCAGCCTACTCTGGGCTGGCATTCTCCAGTTAGAAGGGAAGGCAGACGTATCAAGCCCAGCTCCCAGTCTACACACAACAGAAGGGCTGCTCCTACCTGCCACTCTGCCTCCCCTTCCCACAGTAAATCCTCTGGAGGCCCCAGCTCCCGACACCACTTCCTAACAGCTCCCAAGGCTCTCCCCTAGCCTTATCCCCTCGTTCCTTTAACTTCTTTGCTGTCCCTCAGATATGGCAGAGAGGTTTGAGCCTCAGGACACAGGCAGCCTCTTCCAGATGACCTCTTAGCCCTGTCAGATCCTCACCGAGCCCTCCCACACACAACACAGGTGACTCATTCTTGTGGTACCCAATGCTTCCTCTCCTCACTGTCTCAAGATTAGGGGTTTTACCTGTTTAAACTACCCGAGTACCTGGCACAGATCTATTTTTATTTGCTGGTTCAATGAGTTGGTAGGTTGAACCCTGACCATTCCTCCAGGAAGCCCTCAAGGTCTGAACTGACACTACCCACTTCAGCCAGGTTCTCCCTTCCCCTGCCCATCCTCACTTGTTCGAGGGACACAGGGTGCTTGATATAGACATTGGTCTGGATGTCCTTGGCAGGCAAGCGTTCTAATTCTGTATGGAACTCCGCCACTCGGTTCTGGGAGAGCAGGAAGAGGAGGTTCAGGCCCAGGAGCTGGTGCATGTAGGCTGACTCAGGTAACTGCTCCCTGAAAACCGGGAGGGAGGGAACAAGGGTTAGTAGGTCCTGGGAACCTAACCAAGTGCCTCATCTACTTTCCAGAATTCAGAGAACTACTTGTAGGAGTTCAGACAAGTGATGTACAGAGAGGCAAGAAAAGCCGCAAGTCACACGGACCAAGCAAGGTACCTCAATGCATGGTTTCCTATCTCTTAAACAGTTGTCACTAAGTGCCCACACCACAAGTGAGTCCAATGGCCTAACCTAGGTATAAACTCCTAACAACAGCATCCAGAGATTAGGCACTCAGTCAGTAGAAAGTCTCCCTAGCATGAACACCACCTCAGGTCTGATCCCAACACTGCATGAACCAGATATGGGGGTGCACATCTGCAATTCCAGCTACTGGGAAGTAGAACCAGGAGTATCAGAAGTTCGAGATCATCCTGGGCTACACAGAGTTCTCAGCCAGCTCGGGGAACAGAAGACACAGTCTTCAAAAAACAACAGCTAGGTGTGGTGGCCCATGCCTTTTACACCAACACTCAGGAGGCAGAGGCAGGATGACAATATATTTAAGGACAGCTTGAACTATGTAGCAAAACAAGCAGTAGTGGCACACGCCTTTAATCCCAGCATTTGGAAGGCACAGGCATCTTTCTGAGTTCCAGGACAGCCAGGCTACACAGAGAAACTCTGTGTCAAGAAAACCAAAACCAAACCAAACAGGGAAAAAAAAAAAAAATCAAAAAACAAAACAAAACAAAAACTAACATAACAAACAAACCAGCAGGGGGCAGCACTACCTATAATCTCCAAGCAAAGGCAGGTGTACTACCTTGAAACTTGTCTCAAAACAAAACTACCAAATAGTGATGCAAAATAGCATCCTATTGGCTGCTATAGGTGGTATGTTATTTATTGGAGTCAAGAATACAGCCTAGTAGATGACAGGTAACACGTAGCCACACTGAGTAGAGGGAACGTAGTGTAAGGATCAGGAAAAACAGATTGGAGGGGCTAAGGAATAGTTCAGCAGTGAAGAGGTCATCACTTGCAGAAGTCCTGAGTTCAATTCCCAGCAGCCACATGGCGGCTCACAGCCATCTATAATGGCATCTGATGCCCTCTTCTGATGTGCAGACATACATGGAGAGCACCCATATACGTGAAAATACATAAATAAATCTTTAAGAAAAAGGAAAACTGGTTAGAAACGTACAGAAACGGACCACACAAACCAAGCAGACTACGTAAACCGGGTCCCAAGACTTCCAAGTCAATCCCGTGACCCTCCAGGTTCTTGGGACAGAGGTAGGAACAGCAACGGTTCCCAGGTGATGAAGCCAACAGGAGGGACCCAGAGGTAAATGAACTACCAAGAAACCACCCCGATCCAACCCCTTCCCTGGAGGGCCCAACCTCACTTGTAATCAAAGTAGTAGCATTTGAGCTGGGCCATGTAGCGCTCGAAGGAGGGGATGTCCTTACATAGGATGCTCCACTGGGCCCCGATCTCCAGTATGTCACCTGTTAGCAAGGAGGTGGTTCTGAGGTGGTGACTGGAATCCCCCTCCTGGGATCATCACTACCGTCACCCGCACCCATCACCCTCCCTCCACCAACCAGTGACACTCACGGGCCAGAATGAGCTGCTGTTTGGTCAGTTTGGTCCCTGTGGTTGGCAGGAAATTGAGCTCCAGCAGAACCAGCTGAGGGGGAAGGAATGAACATGAGACTGCAAACACAGGCTACCCACTTTCATCTGGACTGTGATGTTTCCACTCGGAGCACCCTTGCTCATACAGCAGCCATGAGCATGAAGGGGGTCAGTCCTGGTCGATCACTTAGCCTAAGGCGCTATTGGATCACCTCATTTTACAACGAGGGGCTTCATGGGTAAACAGGAGGCACTCATGGGGTGGGGAAGACACGGATGACCTCAATTCTTTCTGTTGTTATTTTTGGCTTGTTTGGGGTTTCTGTTTTGTTTGAGACAGGATCTCCCTCTGCAGGCCAGTCTGGCCTAGAACTGGAGATCCTAGTGTCAGCCTCCCAACTGCTAAGACTCCAAGTGTGGAACATCTCATGCCCTGCTAGGATACTCAGTTCTGCCAAGACCTTCCCCCACCACTCTCTGCCTGAAGAGGGGTGGCTGGGG